AAATGTAATTATTATGTGCAATTTTATGTAATTAAAAATTTTCGATGTGCAAGACTTTTGTCCAGGTAGTGTATATCTGAAAATACTATTAATAATAGTGATAAAAATGTTAACTTATTTGAACATATGGGATGAGTGCAATAAAAACGATGTAAATTGTATAATACAATTTACATCGATTCTATTGCACTTAGAGCTCCTATCGAACTGAACTTTAGGTCAAGTTAGAATTCAAACAGAACCCGAATCCGAACTCTTCTTCATAAATAGGTTCGGGTTCGGGTTCGAACCGAACTTTTTTAGTTGGTTCAGATTCGGTTCGAGGTTCAGTTCGAAGTTCATGAACATGTTCGGGTTCGATATAGTTAGAGTTTATAACGTAAAAATAATGTGATTATAAGTAAAAAACAAAAAATATTATTTCAAAATAATATTTCGTATACCAAGACTTATCTAATCATCTAATTGATTAAGTTTTCTAAATTTCAATGAATCAAATTTATGACGTAGTTGTTAAATTGTGTGTTATTACCAGACCATACGACACATAGTTACCCAACTTTCCCCTTAACGGTCCCTGTGTCCATGACCGAAAATACTGTGACGCTCTTATGAACTTAGGCACTAAGCTAGACATCTTATTCGTGATCATGTTTCCACACGCAGAAATGTCACGTTCGGAAGCAACGGAGGATGCCGGAATTGCCAGGTAGTCGTGAGCCATATGGCAAGGAAACTGCGTTTGGTGTGCCTAAATATTATGTTATTCAACCTCATTCTATTATTTTTAATATATTATCGTTTACCATCCACCACGCTAGCACACTGTTTTTCTTTATTAGCCGGCTTCTCAGAAATATAGCTTTCGATTTCATCAAAACATTCTTCATCCTCATCATCAAAGTCTGTATCCAGTATGGATCGTGTAACTGACCCCATGGTATTGTTAAGGTTGGTGTCCGATAAGAAACTATTATTAGGCGTGGGAGTGATGACCAGCATATACTCCGTTTCAAAGAGAGTACATATTCTAAGGGGTTAATTTGTTATATAAGAGTTGGAAATAAAATATTCAAAATGAAATAACTTACAATTTTTTGTTCCATCAATTTCGTCATCCGAAGATCCTTTCTTTGTGAAATAGTGAAACTTTTCTCCTTGGATCTAATGCGGTACATAGCATCACAGTTCTGTTTTTTTAGAATATCGCTGAACTAACTTTTCTCTTGCTGCTGTAGTCGCCGTGACAAGTAGTGGAACTGATAATTAAATTCGTTAAAGGTAAATTAGTAAATACAATCGAAATCCATCTAATAATTTTACCAAGTCCATTACCTATCTCTGTCTTTGTGTCTGAAATCGCATCTTCGACATGATCAATAATGATGATGCTGAAGAGGGGAATAATCCAATTCAAACTAGCCGAAATTTTGACTGTGTGATCCTTAAATGGTTTAAGGAATTCGGCAACTTTCTCCAAGACAGCATAATCAGAACCTATATTAGTATTCTATTACAAACTATGTTCGAACCGGACTCGTAATGATGTTCGGGTCCGGTTCGGGCATTGCAAATTCGGGTTCAAATTCGAAAAATTGACTGGTTCGACCGAATTTAAATAACAGTATCATTCGAGGTAGACAAACTTTGGTCGGTTTAGGGAGATGCTGTTATACAGTAGTGTCGCTATAGAGTAGAGAGACTGAATTGTATTCAAAATGCTGTATCAAGTGCAAAATGGGTATTCAAGTGAAAAAGCTTTTTTATATATATAATGGTATCAGAACAATTTTTAATTAATTTGTATCAATAGTTTTAAAAAAAACTTTGCAACATTAAGAATGGTAATATTGGCAAGCTAATTATTTTTACTTTGCCTTAATAATAAGTTCTTTTAAGTCAAAATAACTGTTAAATGATTGTGTGTAAATTTAAGGGATCTTTACAAAAAATTTGCTATTTTTTATTTTTATTAAACAATACAATACATGCTGGATTAAACCAATATTCAAAGACACCTTTTATTTTTATAACAGGATGGATAATCAGAGGTTATGCTCTATACATTTTGTCCCCTGTATTGTGTTATTTGACAGGTTTCGAGAATTAGAACTATCAGTTTTATGTGAAAATCCTTCGTTTATTATGTATTGTATGGCGTTTGTTATTCCACCAAAATTTACACCTGTTTTTGAAAAAGAATTAATTAAAATAAAAATCGAGGTATGAATAATGATAAATAAAGCTTACTAACCTATCACTACGACTACATATGTCCAAGCTTCTTCATTGCCATTTACATGTGCTATTGCATATATGCAAATTGGTAACTAATAATTCGATATAATTTGTCAATGAAAAGTTACGCAGTTGTTTAAACTATTATATTTTCAAATTACCCATTGCAGCAAAAAAAGTAAAATATATCGTGCGATATTTCTTGTGACCCGACTCTTAAGGTTACAGAATGAGTCATGATCCAGTCTTTCGCGTAATTGTGGGCGATGATGTGCTAGCAACACCAAAATACGAAAATATGAAAATCCTATTAAGCCTATTATCAAACCTTGAGTGATGAATCCCATTACTTGAACAGCATTAGAACCATTCTTCCCAGCACACCTTTTTATCAAAAGCAATTAGAAAAAAACTTAATATTTGTAATAATGTGAGGTTTTACATACCACCATCTTTCCGCTCCATATAATCCCTTGATAGCTTGTAATGACGTTATCATAGTAGCCAAAACAAAAACAATTAGGAAAAGTTTGTAATCGTATTTGCCGTAATCGAATTGTATTCTTCGACAGACTGAGTAAAGTGATGTAAGTATAATTTTTTTAAACCATATTAAATGCAATTAAAAACTTACCTCGAAGATAGGTGGAAATAGCTACTACAAAGAAAAGATATGAATTTAAACGCATAGTCCAAAGTGTCAATGCACCAATAATCTCACATGCTGGACTGAACCATGGAACCGCATATATAGCTCCGTGACTCTTTATTGTTTTAAAATTTATATCATCTGAAGTTTATTTGCGATTCAAGATTAAATTAAATTTTACAATTAAACTGGATATTTACTGTGTTAATTATATGTATGATTATTATTAATAAATCTATTCAATTGAAAAAAAATAATGAAAGTTAGTTGAAGTTGAAATGTTTTATTGCCTAAAAACAAGACTCACCAGTTAGAACAGTGTAAAATGGCAATCTTAACGACATAGGAAGTGTTTCAAAATTATTACTTTTCCATTTCATATATGTTTGATATATTATATAACCAGAACCAATTAAACTTAAAATCGAAAAGACATAAAAGAATGTAAAAACTGTATAGAAAGTGTGATCTTTTACACCATTATATGGTCTCGTCGGAGGCCAGCTTGATGGGGCATGCAAATTTGCATAGGTAGTCGTAGGTGTATTGATGACGGAATCACGATTGTTTTGGGTGGTAAGCGCACTACTCACCGCTTTAAGCATCAGTAAAAAGAAAAAGTAATTAAAAAACATTTTCCCAATTTATTGAACCCAAGCCAAATAAGACTAATACTAAAAAAGAAACCAATGCTTTTATACAGTCATGCTTCTATACAGTAATAGTCACACCCTATTTATATAAAAAATGCCGGACTTAGACGCTGACTGTCCCTGTCCCGGTACATGTCACTGTTCCATGAAATTACTACCTTTTTCCGGTTCCAGCTACTATGAATCATAGGACATGGACTCTATGAAGTTACAAACTCTTTAAAGTCACATTTTTTCTGGAGTCGAGGATGTGATTATATGGAGGTACAACTGTATTATGCTTAAAATGGATAATAAGAAGTAGCAAAACAAACTTTGACATTTCTTCACTAGAATGTTCTGCATATAAATTAATCACCACGTGTGTGTAATAATATAAAAGAACCAATAATCAATAATTAATTCTTTTTCATTTATATTTCTTTAGAACAAGATTGATTTAAAAATATTAGTGCATGAATGAGAAAAATAAAATTTGAGACTGGGCAATTAATACTTTTAACATTCAAAATATCTGTAGTTATCACTTTGTATATATATTCGAAAAACAAAATTATCAATTTGTTTCTGCCAAAGCAAGCTTTTATTTTGAAAAAAACCTATTTAAATGCGTGGACAAAATTTCTGTATGAGCCACTGTAAGCTAAAGTGTACCAGCTGGAATAGTAAGCACACGAGAATAATATGCTACTATCTCGTCATTTATCTCTGTTCACCTCATGAGAAAATTTGCGCATAAGGTATCATTTTTCTTATAGGGTCATATGAATGAACATCTACATGTATTTATCGTTATAGTTATGATTACGTAATTTTTAATAAAATTTATAAGTACATGTATTGGTATGTTATCAAAGAAATAACACAGCATATATTTGTACGTATGTACATGTACATGTACATGTACATGTATATTTACCGTTACGTGTATGCATAACGGTAGTATGAAAAATTCATACGGTTGTGTTATTATGAAATGTAATGTGTCTTTTCGAAAGCAAAAATGACAGTTACTAGTTAATTTTTCATCAAAGATTGCTTTAGAATAAACATAATAGATATTATCAATAAATAATATCGATATAACACAGTTCTCATATAAAAAACACATACATGAAAAACTTGTGCTTTATTTGCAATCTCTTAAATTGTTACATTTACGCCATTCAGTTACTTGGTATTTGGCTTTTATCCTTGAAATTAACTATATTTAATTTTAAATTCAAACATTAATAGAAAATATTATATATAAGTTTATCTAAAAAAGATAATATCGATATCTTATATTTATGCATAATATTGCTAGTCAAACTCAAAGAACTTTGCGGACGTCAACGACTAACCTATATTTGATGTATGGCTAAATTTGTCAAGTACCGTGCCGTATAGTGCTGTATACAGTACCCAGGTACTAACCAAAAACACTATCTAATTTGAATAGTACCCCCCCCCCCCCCGACACAGCGTAATGAAAGGGATATATGAAAACTATAACTAATAAGAGGGTATTTTGCTATTAAACCTAATAGACTCATAAAAAAATATTTCATTATTTCGGAATAAAATACCCCTTAGATAGTATTCCCTTTTCCTTTTTTTTGTAATTTCGCTGTAAAAAATCCGGGACTATATACATGTACATGGTGTATATTGCAAGTGCTTTGTAAAGTACACGGGTACGTTCATTCAACATAATATTTTAGTAAAGAATAAAGCGATTATTATATTATTTTACCTAAATAATGTCCTCCTTCAATCAAAATATCCCCTATCATAGTATCCCACGGGATTTTATTCCGCGAAATACGGTAAATTTGGTATTCTTACTACATACACAGTGACTCTCGATAAACCGGCGGGCACCGTTCCATTAGTAAAAATTTCCAAAAAATCCGGTTTATAGTGATTTACTATGTTTTATAAACCGGCTTTATAATAAATCAAAATTTCTGTGGCCGGTTTATCAAAAGTGACTATGTATTTGTCAGTGTTCCTTATTTAATGAGAATTTTCACTATCGTTAAACTTTAAGTAATTTGATAACTTATTCTAACTTAAAAGTAAACGTTATGTAAAATGTAATTGCGTTGTTTATCACAAAGCTTACCACCTTGGTAAACTTTAAATAACCTGAAAAGAATTTGAAACCTTGAGCAGACATCAAATGAATCTTAATTTATTTTGCCGAAAAATAATTGGTTTCACTAAAAAAAACTTGGACTGAATTAAGGTTTAAATGTTCTACAAGGGAGAGTAATAAAGAGCATTTTACGGTAATACATGTCAACTTTGTGATAAAGTAATACATGTATGTTGCTTAAGGTCACCAATTTTATTCAGGTTTTGTGATATTTAACTTAACGTTAAGCAGGGTTTGCATTTTGGTCAATTTAAAAAAATATTTGGCAAGATCAGCAGCCAAATTTTACAAATACATGTACGTATTAGTATAGAGAAATATAATTTAATACATGTAGGTTTTAATATGCACTGGTCGAAAAGAGTCATTTTCACCTGGACAAAAAATGTAGGTACTTAATACATGTAATATCGATATGGGTGTCACATTGATAAATCTAGCGGCAAAAATATAGTTAAAGTTTTCTAAAAACTTGCATTGATATCGCACATTGTATTACAATCAAAATCGTGGATAATATCGTTATCGTTATTATTATAGTTAATTCTCTGGTAAATTGCGGGTGATACGTATTATAGGCAATGTTTATCAATTGTTTGGGTAATATTATTATAAGCAACGCTTAGATTAAATCGCGAGTAATTATATTCAATTATTTGTCAAATACGGATAATATTATAAAAAAATAAATATAGTATAATGAACAATAAAATAAATGTGTATGTAAAGAATAAAATGAACAATGAATAAAGAAAAATGGAAAATGGAAAAGAGAAAGATTTTTTTAAGCCCAGTCCGGGAGGTCGCATGGCTTTTTGAAAATGGATTCGCAATATTGTGGATGAGACACATTAATTGTGTTTCTAGTTGATCAAACAATTTTCTCACATGAACATAGGAGTACAAGGTAGAAAAAGTATAAAAAGTATAGGAGTATGAAGTAGAAAAATAAAAGTATACGAATACTATAGTTAATAATATATAAGGAAATTGTGAAATATTCTAAGTTCTTTACATGGTTTTCATAATTTCATAAAATATTACAAATTATGGAATTAATGAATTTTATAACATAATTGTAAGAATACTTATAAACAGCAAAAATAATAAAAAACTAGCTTTCTGGTTACATTAATTTGTATAATAATAGTTATTATTTTTTAAGTTAAGTATAAAACAAAATAATAAATATTATATCAAATAAATTCTTTTTAGTTATTATTTTCTGTATCAATCTCACAAATAGTCTTTTTATAACTATTATTATATATCACTCTGCTACATATTTTTATTATCTAAAATACAATATTGATATATATAGTCAAATTTCATTATTGAAAAAGCAAAATTTGGTAACTATAGAAGAATTTTTTTTATTATATTTATATGTAAATAAAAAAGCAAAATTTGATAACTAGAGATAATACAACAAATATATAATATATATTTGTCATTTGTTACAACATGTTGCAACTTCAAAATTTTATTAGTCACAATTAGGTGATGTTTTATTTGTTATTATATTATAATAATTGCTGTATTGTCTTTATTGATAACTATAAAGAGAATATAACTATAAATAAAAAAATAAAATAAGATAATTATAAAGTTATAATTATAAATAAATGTAACTATAAAAAAGTTTAATTATATTATTATATTATTTTATTAAGTTTTTGTTTTACTATTACTTTGTCTTTTTAATTAATTTTGTGAGCTTTATATATAAAGTAATAGTATTACAGTAGTAACATAAAAATCACAAATTCAAAAATAATCGAAAAACATGAAAATTCTAAAATATTCATATAATGATAAAGTCCTCTAATATTATTTCACTTTTTCAATTTTTTACTTTTTATTTTTAAATTTTATATATATTATTTCACTTTTATTATTTCACTTTTCATTTTTTTACTTTTATTATTTCACTTTTTCAATTTTTCATTGTTATTTTCACTTTATATATATTATTTTACTTTTTATTATTTCACTTTTTATTTTTTACTTTTTATTTTTTACTTTCTTGAAATTTTACTTTTTACTTTATATAAGTTATTTTAATTTTATAATTAGTTATTTCACTTTTATATATTTTTATAATTGTTTATTTCATTTTTTGTAATTTCAAAAAATATATAAATAGAGGTGCTGTTTGAGTTTTAACTTGACATATTGTAACTGAAAATAAAAAAATCTCTCTTAACAAAAATCTTCTTTCAAATACTTTCTGCCTCTCATATTTTCTTTATACACTTTAAATCTTGTATATAAGTGAACTTATATTATATTGAACCTATCAAATTGCTAATAACTTTATATTGTATTGTACTAAGCAAATCATTGTTATTGATTTTGGGCTTTATATTATATTGTGCTGAAACAAATTGTTGTTATTAAATTATTGAGCTTTATATTGTATTGTACTGAACAAATCACTATATTAAAAATTATTGAAATTGAATTTATAAGTATTTTTACTTTTTGTTATTTGAATTTTTAATTATTAATAAATATTCCTTACTAATAAGAAGAACAAAGTGAAAGAGTTTTTGTTATTGTTCTTAGTTCTAGAAAGCTTTACACAAGTATAAAATCACTCTACAAATTCTTTTTATTATTTTTTATACTCTCTCTCCTCTTTGATTTTTACTTTTTTATAACTCTTTCATATTATTATTTCTTTTCAAGTAAATACAATTTCTATAAAAATTGGTATAGGTCTTAGATATCTCTCTTTTCTCTTAATATTTTCTTTATCAGTTTATACTTTCTTCCAATTCAGGTTCTTGTTTATAAGCTAATTTAACAATTAGTGAACAAACTTGTAATATTTTAATGCTTTTTTTGTGAAATATTGATTTCAAAGATCTTCTTTATATTTAAATTCCCTTTATGAATAATTATTACAATTTTATTGGAGAACCTATTATCTCACATCCCAACACTCATCTTGAGACTCAACCAAGATACAATATCTCAATAACTCAATAATATTGTTATCATATCTGTTTTTTACCTTTTGATACAATAATTAAATTGCTAGTGAATAAATATTCTTTTGAATTAATAAGCTATTTTTTATATAAATTTAATTCTTATGATATTATAAAATTAAATAAAATTTTAAGTAATTAATTATATAAAAAAAGATTCTTTTTTTGAAAGTAGTTATAACTTGAGTTTGTTTGTTTTTTCAAGTTATTATTGTAATAAATTTTCTTATAAATTTGTCTTTTAAGTGAACTAACTAAGTAATATTTTTCGAGATTAATGATTATAAAGTATTTCAATACCAACAAAAAAATAAAATACTTATATTCAAATCAAATATCTTTAATTAAAATCAAAAATATTATAAATATTCAATCCAAAAAAAATATATTCTGTCTTTTCAAAATTTAAAGACTTGATAAACTAATAATCAAAAAATCAATTTTAAACAAATCAATATTTAGTTTCTTGATCTTGTTCAAGATTTACAAAAAGTAACTTGAATAACAAGATTTGAAGTTTGATTAAACAAATTATTTTAGTCAGGCAACTCTTTTTGACAGAATAAAGATGAAGAATAAATATTAATAATAAAATAACAAGGCATAATTAGTCAACTTGTTAGAATAAAAATAAAAATTTATTAATTTGTTCAAAGCATCAAAATATAAGAGAGTATGTGTTGAGATAGCACTCTTATTTATACAAAAATTCTCAATACATTTTGATACTATCTATATTACAAAATATTATAGAAAAGATAAAAAATAGATAAGATATAGGTAAATAAAGATAGAAAAAGGTAGAAAAGAGTAAAAAAAAGATAGAAAAAGATAAAAAAGGTAGAAATTATTAAATTAAAAATGATAATTCATATAATTACTAAATGATAATTATGTAAATTATTTTTATCAATTTATTGTTTTTCTACTATTTTTAGAAATTTTTATATTTTTCTATTATTAAAAGATTCATTAATTAAGGAATTTTTGAAAATAAATGTAACACTATCACTAACGAGACGAAAATGTTCACCTGACATTTCCACTATTTAAATACTCTTGCGATGTGGTCGAAATAATTGAATTCATGAACAATATCAATATCGATATAGATCTTTCAGAAATTCTAAGTAGCAAAATAAATAACTATACGCAGGCATATCTCATTTACAAATAAGGCTCAAAAAAACTCATTATTGGTTGAAGAGGCCGTTTTTTTTCGCAGCAGTTTAGGAGGTGACAACAAAGACCGGGTCATTGTTAAAAAAGACGGCGATTATACTTATTTTTTTTCCGATATTCTTTATCAAAGTTGAGGTTGTATTATTACAGTTGGACGAACCAAATTTATAGCTTTATCCGATAATATTTATTTATGTTCACATCAACAAATTTGAATATACAAAAAATATTGCTGTAAAATATATATTATTGATTCATATCGATATTGATTCAAAATTTGAATCTCTTATTTATCCTTTTTATCTTGGTCAACAACGAACTACCCAATCAAAGAAGAAACATAAACTTCAGCATCGCGTCCACTTCCGACAAGTTCTTGTCTGGCACCCAAAAAGCCGGCGGAAAAACTCAAGTCTAGTCCAAGGTCAGTAATGAAAGGCACATTGACTCTTCCATCCGGTATACCTTCGGTTTGAATGCTGTATGTTATGATTTTATTACCATGTTTATCATAGGGAAAGAATGCTGAAATCCATCCGGTCCAATAATCTGGTGTACTAGACACACCGCCCATTGCCAAAAACACTTGGATCCAAAATTCTTCGTCGATTTCTCCACGATAAGTGGCGACTAGCTTCCAAATAACTGGCTCAAGATGATCAAGCCAAAAATCCATATCCAGACTAAGATCACGAAATTTTCTTGAATATGAGTCCAGTATTCTAGAGAATCTTCCAAAGTCACTTTTGGAATACTACCACATAAGGTAGAAACCCTATATTCGAAATATTTTTTTAACGCGTCTAAAAGAATGATACGACTTGCTGTTTTTGCTCCCATTGAATAACCTCAGGCTAATCACCTTTAAGAAGGTTGTTTTCATATGTTAAAACATCACCAACATTAACTATAATTAATTTTGTCCTGTATGTTCAACAAAATAACTACGAAATCTTTCGACGTTAAAATTGATATGTTGGTCAACACCCTGAGCGATAGTTAACCATACATCATCTTGTTTGAGACAAAGATGTTGATGGTGGTTATATGCTTCGAAGAGATACTTTTGGCAAACTTATCTTTTTTGTTTTTTTCTTAGCCACACTTTCAATTTATTTTCTTTTTCGTCATTTTAAAATAAACCAGCCAAAACTACTGAAAAAGTCAAGAAAATAACAATTTTCCAATCGAGAATATGAATTGCAGCGACAAATCCATAATTGTATCCGTCCATGATTTTGGTTTTGGGATTATTATTATTATCGCCGCCGGTTTCTGGATAATCTACCGAAATGGCATGAATAACTTGTCTTTATATAATTTCGTGAAATATTTTTTGACGTTTTCGTGTTTAAGTAGCTTGAGTTTTAACAACTTTGGGCCAACGACTTGAGGACTTTTTTGTAGAGTTGTTGAAGTCATTATCGTTATCAGTTTGTGCCAACGACCTGAGTACTTTTTTGTAGAATTGTTGAAGTATCAGATACATGTATCTGGTACAGTATTACATGTACCAGTTTTTCACATCTGTACATGTAGTTACACAGCATAAATATCGAATCAATACATTGAATAAGTACGTACGTACTTGTCATTCCATAACTGATATTTTGCCCCCTCCCCCTTCCCCAAGGGAAGGGAACATCAGTGATATGGAGTTTTTCATAAGTTTTTTATGAAATAACGTGTATACATAGTATCCATGGAATAACTTCTTTTAACGCTGCAACTAAATATTGGCAGCCAACTACATGTATAAACCAGCGCAATATCGATATTGGAAATTATCGTTATATTAATTGTCCGATTCCATAAAAATTTGATACGAAATTCGTGATCATGTGACGTAAAATCATTGGTCTGGTGTAACAAATCAGAGAATCAAAAAACTACCAAAATTGTCAACAATAACGATAACGATAAGTGAAATATGTAGCGTCTAGCACGTATTGGTAGTACATGTAAATATAAAAATAGAGATACATTAATAGCATAACTTAGCGAAATATATGATGAGAAAAAACTCTGTTATCTGAAGTGTTCATCCAGTCTCGGCAGCATTTTATCGCTTTATGAATATCACGCTCTGTCCCAATTCCATGTAAATATAATTTTGCGACTTTTTGTTGCGATGTATCAATTCCAGCAATAGCGGATTTCTCAAACAATTTGAAAGCGATGTATTTGTTTGCTTTGATGCCGTTTCCCTCGTATAAACAAAATGCCAGATTGCCTTTTTAAAAAAAAAGACTATTGTAAATAATAATTTTAACCTTTTCACGTCCCACTGAATTCATTTTCAAAGCCATATCAATAATAATAAAATAAATTCTTACATTGACCGGTAGGATCCCCTGATGCCGCTGAACGCTGATACCATAGTGTACTAAGAACTAAGTTAGATTTAGTACCTAATTGTTTACGAAAACACCATCCCAGTTGATTCATCCCAAATCGATCTCCAAAATGTGCGGCTTTCGAATAATATTTAAAAGCCTTTTTATAATTCCTTGAGGTCCCTACGCCATAATGATAGCATAATCCTAACAGACAAGCATACTCCAAATTCGTTTTCACCAACACACGAGCATGCTGTACCAATTGTTTTTCAGTTATGCCGTGAGAATTGCACCAATCTTCGATACAAGAGAACAAATGTTCATCTCTAGGCCCTGGATCGATTACATTTCTCATCTCTGTTAATAGTTCTGGGAAATGTGTGGCGATTTCGTCATTATCTTTGGATTTTGCCGATGAAAGATCGTGAAATTTAAGTTTTTGCGTCAAAAATTTATAAAATTTTATGAGTTTATTTTCTTTTTGCGATATTGAACTACTCATTTTTGTTGTGATTATTTAAAAAAATGAATAACGGTAATGTTATTTATTTTGTTTCAACCATGCCATAGCTATACTCCTGCACTCCTTACTTACCATATCTAGTAATCTTACTCAGATGTACATATCGATATCCAATCATTGCAGTTAAAACTTGTAACACCAATCAGGTTAATATATAGCATATACGTAGAGATAACATATTCACTTTGAACTTGATATTCTTTTAACTTCTAATCATTATATTATAATCCTGGTCTATCGCTATCGTGCAATCAAGTACGTAACTGCTAAGCGGCGCGACAGATAGTATTCTGGGAGGAGGGGGAAATGGCAAAATCTCACAGGTGTTAATATAATATCGCGTTCATGTGCTAAGGAGGGGTGGGAGAGATCTACATTAGTTAAATATTGGTCACTTCCCTAATATTTTTCTGGGAGAACATGGATTTAAAACGTAACGGTAATACGAAAAACCAAATTGACTAATCGTAATCAAATAAAACAAAAAAGATCCTAATTCAAGATACATGTATTTAACTCGTTATTTATTTCATTAACGTATACTTTAAATGATGTAATATCGAACTTAGCAATCAGTATACATGTACATGAATTTCAGGTTTAGCCTTTTATTATTTAGATCTACATTATGTATCATTACACGCATGAAAACCCATTTCACAAATGTATAAAAACAGATGTGTATCCGACAAATTTTAAAAATAACGATACATAATGAGTGGACATAACGATAACGATAACGATAACAACGAATTTATTGTAAGTTTCCAATTTCTAAGAATTTTAATATTAATTTAATATCTAATCTTATTGTTTTCATGTATAGCACATGCTTGATGAAGTTGAATTTTATGAATTCAGCGAATTCGAAAACTCCGAATTAATTGGTGTCTGTGCTTATGGGTTGTGTTATCGTGCATTTTGGTCTCGAAAAGAAATCGAAGTATCGCTTTTTGCATTTGAAGACTGGTCGAATGCATTTAATGACTTTGACACATTAGCGAAAGTTGGTATTATGAAATTTTGGTTTTTGATTAACTGTATTTTTAAACATTAAAACATATGCTAAATAAATGATAACAGAGAAAACTCGCAGAAAAATTGAATCATCGAAACTTGTTAGGATTTTTAGGCTATGCACATGGTAAATGTCAAAATGGTTTTGTTTTAAAGATTATTATGCAAAAGCGAGCGTGTCATCGAGAGATTTGATGCTAATATGAATCTCTTTCCGCAATAAAAGATACCGATATATTTAGATTATTTTTGATTATGGAAAAATGCGAAATATCTCTTGCGCAATATTTGAAAAAGAACGAAAATTTATTGAATCAAGATTTTGCGATCTCTTTAGCCAAAGAAATTGTTTCTGGTCTAATTTATTTGGAAGTACATGTAGATCAGAATTTGGTGAATGTTACGAAATTCTTTCCCATATCAAATCTTTGACTGACATGATGTTTAGTAATGGAAATTGCAATTACGTATTAGAATACGATGAATATTTGGATGGATAAAAATATACCGAAATTTACCTACTTGCATTTGATTCAAAATCCTCTCGACATCCCAGAGATAAATGCTTACGAATATCTCAAATTTATCGATCCAAACTTCATCAAAGATCCAGATTTTGTTTGCGACAAAAAATCAAACATATTCAGTCTCGGTATGATTCTCGCGTCACTTGCTGGAATTTCAGTGTATGATTCTGACGATGCAGAACAATTTATGATCGATGTTTATAATGAAAATTTTCATTGGAACACTGATAGGATATCTGCCAAATATGTTCAGCTCTGTCAACGCTGTTGCACATCGGATCCGGATTTAAGACCAAGTCTTAGTGAAGTGCTTTTCACACTCGAAAATTTAGGAACATGTATTAATCATGTTAGAACAAACGCGTTTGAATTAAATGTGTATCCTCAAGAAACAGAAATATTGGAGAAATCGTCCGAATCAATACTTCCTTCCTTTATACATTTAGCAAAAGTTCTCACGGAAGGTGAATACGATATCCTGGAGAGCACCTTAAAGACATTTGCTAATTACACAAGAATTTATGGAGACGACAATAAAGTACTCAAAAAAATAGAAGAACATCTCGCAGTATTAAAGCAACCTCTGCATGATTTTATATATATATTGAAGAAATTACGTTTCCTACCGAAATGTGCCTGCTTACTCGGCTTCTTTAATCAAGTCGGCACTACAATTGATTATGACCAAGCATTTTATTGGTACAAAATCGCAACAGATGGAAAAGACGATTTTGGTGCAAATCAGCTAGGATATTGTTATGCAAAAGGTATAGGCATAAACTTCGACGAAGAAATTGCTTATGAATGGTTTAAAGTATCCGCGAAAAGAGGACACCCACAAGGAATATCAAATACAGCGCATAGACTTGATGAACGGGATCAGAAAAAGGTATTCGAAATGTATTATAGCATCGCGAAAATCGGATATTTAACTGGACAAGCATGTACTGGTTCTTGTTATGCTCGTGGTTTCGGCGTTACGATGAATCATCGAATCGCCGCCTATTGGTATAAAAAAGCTGCTGAAGGTGAAGATGTGAATGGAGAATATTATGTGATTGCTAATCTAAAGGATGGATACGGGACAAAAGTAGATGTGCACGAGGCAATCCGATGGTGTCGAAGATCAATAAGAAATAGAAATCAATACGCTGAACAATCTTTGGCAAAAATTTTCAAATATTGACCTTCCCAACAAAATACATGTAGTTTTTTCCTATCGCTATTGGACGAGTATTTACTGTTTCTTATCAGCTTGGTTTTTATGTTATCAACACCACCACTGTAATCAAATGTATTTATTGTCTTGGTTTATTACAATTTCTCTAAAAAGTAATTCTCATCAATTAATGCAATCATGATACGTAATAACAATTACAGTTTAACCCGAAATTTAAAGTGTTTATTTTAAAAAGAAGCATCTTTTCATTATTCATGTATGTCATGCGCTTTTATGTTGCTGCCACTGATTTATCTTTGTTAGAAACTCGGACAATATATAATTCATTTACTCTTGTGTTTTCCATGAGTCATTGATTCTTCATAGCGACCGCTGAAATAAGATTTTCTGTTTTTTACGCGTTTTTCGGCAATTTTATAAAAGAATGATCCCTAAGACAAAGTAATTTATTGCGAAAAATAAGCGACAACAAAAACAAGAACAAATAAAGATAATGCGTTATATGAACTCACATCATACTGAGCACGAACATCTTCCTTGTACAAAATGCCATTCTTATTTGCCAATAGCCACATAGTACCCCATTCAAAGACCGTTGCAAACCAGCCTATAATAAGATACCGATACGAACAACATCAATTAATCGAGAATAGTAATTATGCTCGGCCAAACATCGTCCCAACAAAATTAAAGATTGGACAAACCGAAAAAGTCTGCTACATTTGCATTTCCATACATCATCCTAAAAATATCCATAAGATTCAATCCACCTTTATTATCACGATCATATTTCGAGAAAATTTCTTCAAATTTCTCGGGAACAAAGCGACCCTAATTTTCATGGAATATGAATGAGTAAATTGGCATGAGAATGCATAGAGACGATGCTTTATGTACCTCCGAATCATACGTCTCCGAGTCAGAACCGTGCTTTCCTTTGTGAATGTTGTCGGTATAAATTAGGAAAGCGGGATTCGGGATCCAATAAGGTTGAGTAATCCACGAAAAAGATCCGTGAATTACTACTACAGCAAAGAAACAGAAGATCACGTTGAAGCCCAAAGCGCGAAATCCTAATCACCAATTGAGAATCAAGTATCAATAATTGTTTGCAAACTCTTATTCAAATGATTGCGTTGTTACCTCGATACGTGTCAAAGAGTCGAATTATCCCATCTCTGTCAGTATCGAAAAAGTCAACATGTTGTTGAAGAACCTGTCTCAAAAAAGTTGTGATCAAAAAAGTCGATTACGAATAAAAATAATCTAATAACACAAAAGAAAGAAATATACCGTTCGATTCTTGATATTTCGACCTGGTGTGCCATTCGGATTCTCGCGAGAAGCAGCGACAGTGGCACGTGGTGCTCCTATTATCAAAAAATTATAAAATATAACCAACGGATCTTTTGAAAAGTTTCTATATATTTAACTTGCCTGCATTGCCCAAGAATTGATCAAGATCATTGGGCACAGGACGTTGTTTTGTCACTGGGACTTCGTTGATAGAGGTTACGAGTGACATTTTTTTTTAGATAAAAGATTTTTATTTTATTTCTTATGAAAGTAAGCACTGCTTAAATTTATAAGAAATTATGGGTGCGCGATTGCAATTCTTTATAGGTCATAGTGATATAATGTTAACAAAGCAGATTGACCAATTTTGTCATTTAAGATACGTGAGAATAGCATTTCATTTTAATATATATCGATATATAATAGTTTGGCTTTATTTTACTAAGATTGATAAACATTATGTCATGGTTCAAATAAATCAAGCTTCTAAATAACGATAAATATAAAGCCTAAATAGCGATAGCATGTAGCATACAAATATCATAACATGTGTAATTTTGATTATATCCATTTACGTATTGTATCCATTACCTATTATATCCATACTTCCTTTACCATATTAGAAGAAGCACCATTATCGTTATTTCCATTGCTACTTCGTGTTATTATTGCCTAAGTTTGATCCGCTGTTGGATCCGACATTGTCATTGCCAACGCTTACACCATTGTTTCCCTTGAGGTAGTTATTATTTCCGGTATTTTGACCATTCTGATTTCCAACATTATTATTGCCTACATTGGTACCGTCATGAAGCATGAAAGAGTTGTTGTTGCCACTGCCTTGGCCGTTTCCATTGCCAACATTTCCGTCGCCGTTGTGGGAGCCAGATTCTAGAGTAAGATAGTTGCCATTACCGGTTCCTTTTCCGTTATCATTGCCGATATTGCGGTTTCCATTGTCGCTGCCAGTGTTTAGATTATAAACGCAGTTGTTATCTCCAGAATTCGCACCGTTACCATTACCTATAATGAATGAATTTTGAGTTTTCGAGCAAAAAACAACCATAAAGCAAATATAAACTAAAATCTAGCTTACCAATATTCGAATCTCCATTATGCTCGCCTACACCAGAGCCATTAGGGAAACCTGATGCAGCGCAATCTTTTGGACCGCTATTGCCACTATTTTGGCCATTACCATTGCCAATATTACCATTTCCATTATCCACTCCACCGCTACTCTTTCCATTTGCGTTGCCGATATTATTGCTACCAACATTGGTACCTGTACTCCCTAAGCCGTTTTCACTGCCGATATTATTATCACCGGCATTAGAATTGCCAATGTTTCCATGACCGGTGTTATCGCATCCGATGTTATCGATGTATGTGCAGGCACGACGCCAAGGATACGAATACACATTGGAGAATGTCATAACATAAACAAGCGCAAATACGACTAAAAAGTTGATTTTTGTCATTTTTCAGTAATTTGTAAAGACAAGACAAGATAAATTTTTTTTGTAGTTGTGAAGAAAGAATTGGAATTTGTAAAGACAATGTAAAAGTTTCTTGTGGTTGTGAAAAAAGAATTGGATAAAGTACGTGTATTTATAAGAAAAATTTCTAATTAAGAATGGCTGCGTCACGAAATATAAATTTTGCCCTTTAAGATTCTGCACGAATTATCTCATTTTTTTCCAAAAAAAGGCAACGTAGAATTCTTAGAAGCATCATCCCATGGTGAAGAAAAGATTAAATTTAGATTTGTATTTAAATGTCGAATGTGATGAAGGCTCATAAGCATTACAAAAACTGTTTTTCCGAACGAAAAAAATTTTTAATGCAACTATTTTTAGATAGATTGAATTTTAAAAAAAAGCTTTCGTGTTATATTCCACGTTCGACTTCGATTGTAACACGTTAGTGCTTGAATTGTTGTTTATTTATATGCAACATCAAGTTGAACACACTCGTGTTATTAAGTCATTAACATTTGCCATACCATTCTTTGGAAGCTTTTGTGGGTTCATACAATACATGTAGTGTGTCACTTTGAGAAAATAATGGTGAATTTGAATCCCTTCATTTTATTACGTATGGTTCATGACATCAATTGATTATATTTTATAAATTCAATAGACTTTTTAACTAACGCTAAGAAGTAAATACAAAATTTAATCCGTGAATATGATCAAGAAAGGGCCTATTCTATCATATCCATAGATTAAATTTTCTTATAAAATACATGTACATGTAACGTACAATCAATTGATAAGTAGGATGTCGAAGCCATTGTGATTTGCAGGTTACAACAAGGAATTTCTACTGCTACTTGTCTATTTGGAGTACAAGTTTATTGTTTTTAATGTTAACATTAATGAAAAATTTCCCCTTGTGTACATTTGGTGTGTACATATTCTATTTTTATATTTTATTAAATTTTTGAATTTCAATTACGCAAAAAATAAAATAAACTTGGAGGTAGCATATGCAGATTGCAACGACAGCTGAATTTCGAGGAAAGAAACGGAGGTACTTTCTAAGCCATAGTGTGAAACCTCTATAATCGAAAAATACAAGCCTTTTAAAATGTCATAACGGATGACAAAATATGGATTAGCATTAAAATTATCAACAAAATTTATCGAATAATCCATTGTTTCCTATTATTCATTTCTGTCATGTGTGCCAAGAAAATAATCGATGCGTACCACGTTTCACTTTAAAACAAAGTGCAAGTACATGTACAGTGCTCATCAGAAGTAACCTCTACCCAAAATTTTCCGAGCACAAAGAACATTATCTTTTTTTAGATTAGTAGTCCCAAATACAGTATATCCAATCATCTAATTCTTACGTACAGTGATCCGATTTGAACAAAAATACATTCGATTCACCTCGACTAAACGAATCGAATGGTTTATATATATATATACGTACATACATTATAGTGTTTTTGTTCAAATCGGATCACTGATTAGATTACTGGAATATAACTGATTAGATTACTGGAATATAACTGATTATCGTTATATTGGGACTACTAATCTAAAAAAAGATAATGTTCTTTGTGCTCGGAAAATTTTGGGTAGGTTACTTCTGACGTATACACTGTCATAATCACTAAAAGATGGCATTTAAAACTTCGAATACTCATGATTGTAGTGAATGCTGGCTTTGTCAAGATAATTACTACTTCAAAGCGTGTTCAGTTCACAATATTCATGATTGTAGTAATTACTGTTACGATTGTAAACACTATAAGTACTGCGATGAGTGTTCAGTTCACAATACTCGCGATTGGAGTAAATGTACTAAATGTCAAAAACATGAGGACTGTGTTGAATGTTTTCTATATCACAACCGAATTTATATTGGATGGTCTAGCAGAAATAAAGATATCGACAGTCTAAGAAATGAATACGACAAAATTGCTGTGTATGTAGGCATTTCGAATGGATCCCGTTCGACTTGCAAAAGGAGGTTTTGGGTCAATTTATAAAGCATCCTGGTGGCACAATTACAAGTGGGATTATGAAGACAATAAATTTAAACGGTCTGGGAAAAACCAAGAAGTTGTGTTGAAATCATTACACAATTCAAAGCAAATTACATCCGAGTTTATAAACGAGGTAAAATAAAAACCTTTAAGTGTAAGCATATTGCTTTTTTGTTTTTCAATTCAAACTTTTCAAAATTAGATTCAGACCTGCTCTAAACGATAGAAATTTGATGACGATAATCTGCAGTCAAAACTGGTTATAACGAACTCTGGTTATAACGAAGGGGAATTAAAACCTCGATATAACGAAGTTTGAATTTTGCAATAATTTAATAGCCCGCTATTAAAAGTATAGTAAATCTTTATATAAAGAAAATTTTTACTAATTATCCGGCCACCTTCGTTATATCCAGTTTTGACTGCAGATTACGGAATAACTAAAACCCAGTTAATGGATACTCGATATTAATGACTTATGCAATACATGTATATACATATATGGATTCCAACTACGAAGAATTGAAATTACTATATTTAATGAGTATTACTTCATGGTTGGATAAAATTCATAGAGAAATTTCTGCATCGTGATTTTCACCCGGAAATATATTAATACAGCTTGAAAGTGCTAACATTGCTGATTTTGGACTTACCAAACCAGCAGATATAGAAAATTCTGATCAAAAAATTTACTGAGTACTTCCTTACATGTCCAAAGGTACTAACGCTAAATGGAAAACCATACCGATACACTAAAGCTGCAGATCTTTATAGTTTTGGGATGATTGCGTACAGCTCATAACAGAATTTGGTGGTATAGATCTCGTATTAGACATTTATGAAGGCGTACGACCTACGATATCAAATAATGTTCCCAGATGGTGCAAATTTATTATTGAAAAATGTTGGGATCCTATTCCAGAACAGACCAACTGCTGAGGAACTCGATTTTATCATATCTATCCGCTTTCCAGCAGGCGACACTAAACTGAATACTTTGCATTTCAGTACTTATAGTGTTTACAATCGTAACAGTAATTACTACAATCATGAATATTGTG